CCAACGTTCTGTAGCGTGGCGAGCGTTCTTAGCTGCTGCCAACACCGCCATAACCCCCTCCTTCTGCTCCTTAAATCACTGAGCACACTTAAATCACTTGGAACACACGCCCAGTTCCTCGATCCAAAAACCGGAAGTGACGCCGCGGAAGTGACGTACCACAAGTGCACCCGTGACTTCACTTACGCCTGGACTCCACTGCCATTGCTGCCAGAAGACCAGCACCTAGCGGAATCAATGCCTCCTTAGTCCCCATCGGGCCTCGCACGACCCTCCAGGCACGTTAAGCCACCCCCTTTCAGGGGGACCAAATCCCACCAGCAACTGCAGTGGGCGGAAGTCAGAGAGACCCGAGACCCCCCCCAACAACTTTCAGGGGGTCCAGGTCAATTGGGATCCCCAGGCCTGCCTCAAGCGTGGGAAAGAGGAACAAGTGACATAAGGACACACAGATCAGTGCAGTGGGAGCCGATTGGGAGGGGGGCACCCCTTGCGGGGAGGACAATAGCACGTTATTTTGAGACACACACACTGGGGGATCTCCATCTGGAGTCACTCACGCCTCAGAGGATGGTTGCCCACCCTTCAATTGTGGAAGGAAACCTTGGCCAATAATCGGGTGGGGGTCCGATCCGGAAGCCCAGCTATGCCAATCTCCAGGATCCACTGTCCCTGGTTCTGAGACCACATTGCATTGGGATGCCCCTGCAACTTGCATAATGGCCTGAAGCTAAACAATAAACGTTGCAATGTTTCTCCTGTTCAGCCGAAGGAAACACACAAAAAACTGAGGTGGGTTTGTAGGAGTGTCTTTTTTTTCTAATGTGGATGATTTGTTTCCTGTTTCAGGCAGGAGGAGCCCTCTCTCTCTCTCTCTCTCTCTCTCATTGGCTGTCCTGAAAGGTGACTGGGGAAAATTAAATAAATACCATGCTTAATTTAAAATGAAAAATACAAATGCAGTGTTCATAATAAAACTGTGCAAATTGTTTTTGCAATCGCACTGCACTGGAATGCACGGCATTGCAGTACCGTGCGTTCCACTGTGAGCAATCACACTATAGGTGGCAGGCACGTTTTGGGTGCCATTGAAATGAATGGCACTGCAACACATCTCCGGCAGCAGAATTTATCAGGTCGAAATTGAAAATGACTTTCTTCCCACCTTTTATAAATGTTTTTTAAATAATTGTATTGTAAGAACATGGCGCTTGAATAGCTTCAGCCAGTTAATGACAGCTGCCAGTGGCAAGATGCCGCAGACGGCAGCTAAATGTAAATAAAGCAGGTAGTGGGTTGGTGCAATAGCCAGCCTGCTATTGGCCATTTCAAGTTGCATTAGCCAATAACAGGCTGGCTATTGCACCTGTCCGCTGTCAATCAGCAGAGGAGGCACCTGAAGGTCAACTAGGGACCCCCAGAGAAGCTGATAGGGGACTGGAGAGATCAGAGGGAGATCGTGTGCCAATCTCCCTTTGATCTCCTATTACAGAGCAGCCGTGCCGGTCCAGGCCGCATTGAGCACAGCGCGTCTCGGGACCGGCAGTGCCAGCAGCGGCTACTACAAGCGGTCGGGCGTCTCTGGAGACGCTTAAATGTAAAGCTTCCGGCCGTTGTATTACAACGGTCGGCCGAGAAGCTACTCGTCGGGCTCTGCCGTCCTCTCGTCATGGATGAAATAATTTTTCAAGCCCTGTATGTATGTATACAGTTGTGTGAAAAAGTGTTGGCCTCCTTCCTGATTTTTAATTGTTTTGAACGTTTGTCACACTTTAATGTTTCAGATCATCAAACAAATTTAAATATTAGTCAAAGATAACACAAGTAAACACAACATGCAGTTTTTAAAAAGGAATGTTTTTATTATTAAAGGGAAAACAAAATCCAAACCCACATGGCCCTGTGTGAAAAAGTGTTTGCCCCCTAAACCTAATAACTGGTTGGGCCACCTTAGCAGTAAAAACTGCAATCAAGCATTTGCGATAACTTGCAATGAGTCTGCAGGTATTTTGGTCCACTCATCTTTGCAGGATTGTTGTAATTCAGCCACATTGGCAGGTTTTCGAGCATGAACCGCCTTTTTAAAAGGTCATGCCACAGCATCTCAATAGCATTCAGGTCAGGACTTTTGACTAGGCCACTCCAAAGTCTTCATTTTGTTTTTCTTCAGCCATTCAGAGGTGGACTTGCTTTCAAAAATGTCAACTTTTGTCTCGTCAGTCCACAGAGTATTTTCCCAAAAGTCTTGGAGATCATGAAGATGTTTTCTGGCATAACGGAGACAAGCTTATGTTCTTTTTGCTTAGCAGCGGTTTTCATCTTGGAACTCTGCCATGCAGGCCATTTTTGCCCAGTCTCTTTCTTATGGTGGAGTCATGAACACTGACCTGAGGCAAGTGAGGCCTGCAGTTCTTTGGATGTTGTTGTGGGGTCTTTTGGGACCTCTTGGATGAGTCATCTCTGCGCTCTTGGGGTAATTCTGGTTCGCCACCCACTCCTGGGAAGGTTTACCACTGTTCCATGTTTTCGCCATTTGTGGATAATGGCTCTCACTGTGGTTCACTGGAGTCCCAAAGCTTTAGAAATGTCTTTATAACCTTTTCCAGACAGAGATCTCAAATACTTTCTTTCTCATTTGTTCCTGGATTTCTTTGGATCTCGGCCTGATGTGTAGCTTTTGAGGAACTTTTGGTCTACTTCATTTTGTCAGTCAAGTCTTAGGCTGGGCGCACACCTTACAACCATCGCAAGACTTTTGTCTTGCGATGGTTGTAAGGTACTTAAAAAAAACGTACGATCTGCCTATGTTGCATAGGCAGATCGTACTTGCGATGATCGCAAGCCACGCCCCCTGAGGGGCGGGCTTCCGATGACCGCAATGCCGAACGGGCAGTGTGCGCTTGCGCACACCGGCCCGTATGGCTGTTATCATACGGACATGCCACAAACCCGCCGAACATCGTACAATGCTCGGTGGGTTTTCGAACATGTCCGTAAGTTTAAAGTCGTGCGACCTTACAGTAGTAGAGGTCGCACGGCTTCCACACACCTTACGATCATCGTACGATTGCGGGATTTCCTGCGATTATCGTAAGATAATCGTAATGTGTGTGGGGACCCTTATTTAAGTGATTTCTTGATTGCGAACAGGTGTGGCAGTAATCAAGCCTGGGTGTGGCTAGAGATTATGTATGGATGTATGTATATATATATATATATATTAGTAATATAAAACACATACATACTATATATATTAATTTTCAACCTGACAAATATTGCTGCAGGAGGTGCTTTGCCATTCATGTCAATAGATCCCAAAAGCACCTCCCGTCTGCAGTGTGATCGCCCACACTGGAAAGCGCCGTACTGCAATGCCCTGCAGTGCAATTTCACAGAATGTGCCATGAAGTAAAACTTAAGTCAGTAACGCTGCATTTTTGTATTTTATTTTAAATGACTGCATTCATTTTATTTATTTTTTTATTTGAACCAATTCATCGAATAAAATAATTGGCCAACTAATCGATACAAATAATCATTAGCTGCAGCCCTAGATTACTATATTGATATGAAGTCTATACAGTTTGTTATGGTATAGAATTAGTTAGACCTATTTTCAATAGCGATTCTCAAGCAACCAGAAACTTCATTTTTTAGGAATCAACCAATCCCCTTAGATGTCGGATAACGGGGAGTTTACAGTTCTTGCAAACAGTGGTGGAAATTCATGAAAACTGGAGTAGACAGCATCTGGAGCAGTTGTCCAATCAGCTTCTCTTTAATTTTCAAAGCTTACCTGAACAAACTGAAAAGTAAAGCTGACTGCTTGCCGTAGGCAACTGCTACAAATTCTGTCAGCTCCAGTTTCCGTCCAGGTATTCTATCACAGATTGTGACTGCATTAGAATGTGCAAATTTGACGTGATCACACATTCTTATCTAATCACGCCCATTTTTTCGGCTGTGGAATGTGTGACCAGTCACATGGTCACGCCCACTTTTTCCCGGGGTAAAAATGTGTTACCGGCAAAATGCCCTGGAACAGCTGATCACACAATTTTCCGACTTTGTTAGTGCAACACAAAGTCGGATAGAAGTGAGATTTCAGGACCGATCAGCTGTTCCAGGGCAGATCGGTTCTCCTGCACTTTCCATCTGCGATGCCGATCTGCCCGGAACAGCTGAGAAAGCTTTGAATTCTACAACTTTTGCCAGTCACACATTTTTACACATATATACTACGTTAGAATGTGTGATTGCGTGACTGGTTACACATTCCACCGCCGCCAAAATGGGAGCGTGATTACATTACAATGTGTGATCACGTCACCAGTCACACATTCTAACGCAGTCACAATCTGTGATAGAACACCGGCTCCAACGGTCTCAGTATACCGCAAGCTGTAACTCGCAATATACTGAGCTTTGGGTCCCGAGAGGACGCTAGTTTATGTCCTCCCATGATCCTTGAGAGCTATGGGGAAAAACACTTACCCATAGTTCTCTTTTAAGCGTTGAAGAAGATAGAAGCTCATTGGTTGACGTGGGCAACTGCTCCAAAATCTGCCTGCTACAGTTTTGATAAATTCCCTTCTATAGATACACTGTTGAAAATCTAGCAAAAACTAGTTGTACGTCCAGAACACACGCACCCTTTCTCCACTTGGCATAAAACCGCAAGCAATGCACACTCGAGGACATGTGGGTACTAAGGGGATTGGGACGTTGAAATAGAGACAACTACAACTATACAAAACCGTTGTACCGTCTAACTTGAATAAAGTAAGCCTTAATGCAAACACATTTTTAACAAACTACTAATGCATTAACAATATAAACACAGTGCGTGCAATGCTTACAGACTTGTTAGTACGTAACAATGGTTCCACCCGGCTAAACATTTATCAATATGACTCTACAATATACATATTTGAAACAGCAAAACCGAGCACTGTAACATAACCCAGCAGCACTGCTTTCACGTGCAGCCTATAACTTACCCGGTAGCACTGACATAAAGCAGCCGCCATCTTTCTAAAGGAATCCTTTGACCTTCGCGCATACCAAATGCCTTTGACGCAGGCGCATTAGAGATTTCGACAATGAGTCTATGGATTAGTGTAGTCGTAGGGCCGGCGCACGCGCACTGTCGGCAGGTGGTCTGAAGCTCCGAGTGGCAAGTCACCGGACGTGACGTCCGCAGTCGGCGAGCTCGATGGGTTGGAGAACAAAAAAGGCTTGTGTTCTGTGACAAAAGCAAATCTATCAGATTTGCCAACCACCTCACTTCCGTCGGCTGCTAATTACGTTTTGCAGTCAAAAGCAGTGCTTCAATGGGCTGACTATTTGCAAATCTGATAGAAAGTCTGTTCTATCACAAAAGCCAAGGGACGTACTGCTCATGCGTCCATGACATTACTGGCCGATATGAGACCCCGTTCACGCCGGGGCGGTACGGCCGCACGTATCTGCCGACATGAACGATCCCATACATTGCTTTGGGTTTCTTCATGTGACCACGCAATCCGAACCGCCCCCCTGCCCAAACTGCACCCTGCACTATTTTTGCTGCACTGATCAATGCGGTTTCCATACAGCTTTCAATGGAACCGCGCTTATCAGCGTGATTATGGGCGTTTTTATTCATTACAGGTATTTATATAGCGCCGACGATTTACGCAGCACTTTACATAGTTGCACATTCACCTCAGTCCCTACTCTCAAGGAGCTTACAATCTAAAGGTCCCTATCTCACATACATACATACATAGGGCCAACTTAGAGAGGAGACAATTAACCTACCGTTTCAGCGCTGAAACGCAATTAAAAACATCCAAAACCCTACCTTTTGAGATCAGCACGGTAAGCGCGCTGATCTGCAACCTCCCAGGTGTGAATGGGCTCTGATAGTTGTGCGGCAAGAGGGAAGCTCCTCACTACGCTTGCGTGCCTTTCATTAATCATAAACTTGGCTCCTATGATGCGCTGCGATTAGCTTTTTAATAGACATACTGCGCATGCGTCCCTGACGTCATCCTTGAGCTTGGCTGATACGATAGAACACCCTGTCACATCCAGCATTGGCTGATCTAATAGTAAGCTGTCCCTCAAAGGGTTTCTCCAACATAACACAACTTCAGCTTTGTCATTTCAGCAAAATAACGTATTTTCACAGTCTCACCGACTTCAGGTAATCACTTTAAACCTTCCCACATAGGCTGCATCCAGCCGACTTGGCACACAGGCTGGTTCTAGGATGGAGTCCTCCTGAACAGACACCTCCTTTGTCTTCCAGCTGGAACCTTGAACCTGACCCAGCATCCTCCTCATAAGGGCTGTGCACAGGTGTACCATCATTTGTTGGTGGTCACCACTAAAGCCCGGACCGAGGAATGGAGATTTCTTCCCTCCCAGTTCTCTTAGAAATCTCCCAGCTCCAGGATCCCAACTATAATCCAGAAAACCCAGGATGAGTTTTAAAACCAGCTCTTTCCGCTCAGCTCCTCTTGCTGGGAGTCCTGGGTGACTGATGCCACATTATATATATATATATATATTTCTGGGGTAACAACTCTTGTTTGAAGTGGTAAATTCTGTCAGGTTGCAAAGCATACCTGTCTATTAATCCCTGACTGGCTCAGTGGACCAAGCCAGGCAAACACTATCAGCCTAATTTTGTTCGGCCTGGCCAACTATGCCTGATGGCTTGCTCTGAGCAGGGAACTAATAGGGGTTTGCTCACTGGCGGAACTACCAGGGTTATAATGATTGTACAGCAATACAGAATAGCACCAACTATGCATTACCACAAGTCCCAGCAATACATTATATTATTAAGTAGGGATGCACCTGTGTGTGTGTGTGGGGGCGAGGGGGTTAAAAGCGGTTATTATCATTACATTATAATGTATTGCTGGAACTTGTAGTCCTGCATAGTTGGTGGTATTCTGCATTACTGTATAATCATTATACAGCAATGCAGAATACCACCAGCTATGCAGGACTACAGATCCCAGCAATACATTATATTAGTAAGTAGGGATGCACCAGTGCCAATACTGTTTTTTTTTACACCTACCTTTTAAAATGCCCCATACTAAGCGCAGTCAAAATTACCAGGGTCACAGCGGTCGCATTTGTGACTGGGCCCTGGTGTTCGGCCAGTTGGGGGGAGCCCAGGGAGAAAGAAGAGGGCCCGCCACACGCAGTGTTTTTGACACTTGCGGACCTAGGGGGGGGGCTAAGTTGCTGCACCATGGGCCTCTGGGTTGTACTTGCCCCCTGGGCTAAAGGTTACCAGTCAGCCCCTGCTGTATTCCACAACTGCCGGACGCAGAGAGCTGATTAAATTGTGGATGGCATTGGTGCCCGGCCGTTGCGGTATGCAGGATTGTGGGCGGCGTTGTACTACATGTCACAACCGCGGGCTGCCAATGCCATCCCCAATTAAATCAGCTCATCGGTGCCCAGCGGTTGCGACATGCAATGAAAATTATTAGTGCCCCCCCAGATTTGACTGTTGTATCTTATGTGCCCCCCCTACATATTGTTCCTAGAGTCGCCACTGATGTACACTATGTGGTTCCCTTCCACATCATCTGGGAAGTCTGATCTGAAGTAGACGGACTTCTGCCATCTTCATATCAAGTTAAGTACATCTATTGATACCTGTGCCATTCAGTGCAGCACCACCGTATCAGGACAAGCTGATTTAAAGTGACATATGCACAGCTTTTATGCGATCTAACTGGCTTCACATGAACATGCTGTTTTCTGCACTTACCTAACCGATTGGTCTCATCTTAGCATGAATGGGATTGTCTAATGATGAATGAGATATTCAATTAGAACTACACTGGCATGTTTCTACTGATCGACTGGGATTGACAAGCACCCTTTTGTTCGTTCATTCTATCCAGCAGGCTCTCTTACTACAAGCATGTTGAATTTGCCTTTGATTAAGATCGTGCTACATTCAGCTTTATATGCACCAATTTTGTATTGATGGTTTGTCTACTTCAAAAGTATCTTTTTCCAACAATTCAGCTACATATAGATAAGTTTCTAGAAAGGAATCAACATTTGGATAACGTGGTGTTGAATTTCATATTATACATCTTTTTTTTTTTTTCTCACACTAACTTCCAGGTGTCATCATAGTCATTACTACCACCTGAGGACTGAGGTCAGCGATCCCCATCTTGTTTGACCCAATGTGTGTGTTCTGTATGTTGTTTTTCATAAGAATTAACTATTTCCTTCAGTTTCTTGCATAGATATTGCATTGATCATCTATGTAGGATACACAGAGTAGCTTTCCAGATCATGTGAAATGTGATCCTGTTTTTAAATATGCTTTGTTAATAAATGTCACCATTTTATAGATATTAGTTTGTGTGTTATATTTTTCCTAAGGAGTGTATCCCTTTGGGGGGGTTTTTTCTTTACTAATCTGCAAGTGTGTAGATCATAATCTCTGATTTGAGGACTTGTTTTGGGCATGTGTTTTGAAAGTTTAGTGCCACTATTTTCAGAAAAGGGGGGCCACTTGTGGCCTGTTTCTTTCAGTACAGATTTTGTAGAAATATTTTACTTTTGCATAACATAGGAAAGTGTAATGAAAATGAATTATATGCGGACAAAATTAATTATGAAAAAAACAGAGCTTATTGATGGAGTAAGTAATTATGCTGAAATAAATCTGTTTGGATTCAGTAATGCAGAAAAAAAGCACCTTGGTTGAAATCACTTTTTCAGATGCTTCTTGGAGTGGCACTGTATACAAGTAACAAGTAAGGGGAAAGAAAAGGTGAGTGCACTAAAGTGTTTAAATTCCAGAAGAAGAAAGGGGAACACTAATAGGTGGCTTTTTAATATACAAAAGGAGAGTGTCTGCATAGAGGGGCACGCTTGAATTCCAATAATAGACGTTTTGACGTATAGCTTGAGCCAGGTGTTCTATAATTATCACACAGAGAACTTGAGATGGGGAACAACCCTGGCATATACCATTATTAATGAAAAAGGATTTGAAAAAAGTGCCACTAACTAAAATTATAGCTGAGGGGGAAGAGTAGAATTACATAATCTTTGGAGATTAGGACCAAGACCTAGTTGTTCCAGGGAGAGGCAAAGGAAACCCCAACTCACTCTTATCAAAAGCCTTTTTGGCATCTAATGACAACAAGCAGGCTGGGAGTCGGTGTTTATGTATAGGCTTCATTCACACTAGAAAAGGCTGGCACGTACAGCTGCGTGCACGGCCGTATCAGGCAGCTCACGGGAAGGACAGGTGCGGCGTGTGTTTAGTACGCAGCCCCTGTCCTCTATGGGACTACGCGGTTGTATGCTGCTCTACGCTCACCTCAAGTGCAGGTCCGTACGGTTGCGGGTGTCCCTGCTCGGATGCAGACAGGATCCATCCTGTCACCGTACGAGTACGGACACCCGCACCCACCTGGAAGTGCAGGGCGGGTGAGCGTAGGAACGATGTGTGTCACATCGTTCTGCCTTGAGGAAGGGACCCTGCGTGGCCCCGAAACGTCGGCTTTGTTGATCATTGTGACATCTTTGTCCATTGAATAGGGCATATTTATTCAAATCATTGAGTGCTGGTGACCTGTCTCTTCATCCTAACGACCACATGTTATTTATATAAAAGACACCTGTCCACAGAATCTCTTTCTTTCATTCCCAACCACCATGGGCAAGACCAAAGAGCTGTCAAAAGGACGTTAGGGACAAGATTGTAGACCTGCACAAGGTTGGAATGGGCTACAAGACTATCAGCAAGAAGCTTGGTGAGAAGGAAACAACTGATTATTCGCCAATGCTGACTATATAAAAATCATCCCTACAATCAAGCACGGAGGTGGAAACATTATGCTTTGGGGCTATTTCCCTGCTAAAAGGTACAAGGCCGACTTTGCCGCAATGAGGGGCCAATGGACGGGGCCATGTACTGTAAAATCTTGGATGAGAACTTCCTTCCCTCAGCCAGAACACTGAAGATGGGTCGTGGATGGGTCCGTTCAGCATGACAATGACCCAAAACATACTGCCAAGGCAAAAAAGCAGT